GGCGGAAGGGGCGGGCGCGGCGCACGCGGTCGGGCCTCCATCGCCCGCCGCCTCACTCCGCTTCCGTCCCCTCCCGCAGACCCAGCATGGCCGCCCAGGGAGAGCCCCAAGTGCAGTTTAAGGTAAGGAGCTGCCTCTCCCCCGCCCGGGGCCACCTGCCCTCTTCCCTGAGCCTTTTATCTTTTCGGGGGGAGGGGTATGGCTTTTTTTTGTTTGTTTTTTGTTTTTTTCTTTTTCCTAGCTCTTCATTTTTATTCACATTTTCCATCTGCTGCCGGGGGGACGCTGCAGTGCTCCTCATGCTCCTGGCTCGCCGGATGTAGACGTCTACATCGCGCTCCTTGTAACCCGGAGGAGTTTAAATCGGGAGGTCCCACGAGCTGCGGAGGAGAATCAATCGCATTTCTTTTTTTAACCCATTTTAAACTAAGGTGCCCCTTGGGAGGCTGCGAAAGCCGTGGAGGCGTCTCGATCATGTTTTTTTTTCTAACTCGTTTTAAGTTTGCGGCCTTCAAGGGACATCCTGGAGCTGCCGGATGTAAAATGAGGAACGTGATCAAGACTCATTGGGGCGCCCTGTGGAAAGCGGCGCAGGAGTCTTGTTCGCGCTCCTTTTTTAACACGAATCATTTGAACTTTAACATCTCCGCGGCTTTTTGTGGCTTTCCACGGGGCATCTTTAATGGTTTGTGTTTTTTTTTTTTTTTTTTAAAAAAAAAAAAAAAAGGAATGTGAATCAAGACTTGTCCAGAGGAAGGTTACAAAAGCCATGGAGAGGTCTTGATTTACGTTTTGTTTTTTGTTTTTGTTTTTTAACCCGAATAATTTTAAAGTAAGATCTTTGGTAGAAGGCTACAAGAGCCGCGATCGTCTTGATCGCGTTCCTTTTTTTAACACAAGTCAATTAAAAAGATGTCTCGTGAGAGGCTACAAAAGCCGTGGAGACCTTAATTTTAATGGTTCACCTTTTAAAAAAAGGAACACGATCAAGATGATCATGGCTTTTGTAGCCTTCCACGAGACACGAGTCATCTTTTTAACTTTAGTGTTAGAAAAGGAATGGAAATTCAAGACTTCTCCATGGCTTTTTGTGGCCTTACACAGGGCAAGTCATGATTTTTTGGCGCACTTATATATTTTTTTTATTTATTTTTTTTAACACGAATCTTTAAAATTAAGATGTCCAGCGGAAGGCTGTAAAAGCCATGGAGAAGTCTTGATTTGAGTTAAGCTCTCCACGGCTTTTGTAGCCTTCCATGGGACAAGTTTTGATTTACGTTCCTTTTTAACCTGAATAATTTTAAGATGTGCCGTGGAAGCCAGAAGTCTGTTTAATGGAGCTCATCCTGATGCCTTTCATGATTCAAGCTAAAACAAAAGATACAGTAGCTGACACGGACCAGTCTAGCACTACAGTATTTCAGTGCTTAACCCACATTGACAAACCTAGCCAATTTCTGGGTTTTGTGTTTTTTTTTTTTTGTTTTTTTTTGTTTTTTTTTGTTTTTTTTTTTTTGTTTTTGTTTTTTTAAGAGAAGAAAAAAGTGTTCTAACACGCATTCTTCAGGCTAATAAAAATAGTTTGGAAGTGCTAGTCACTAACCTGTCTGCCCTTTAATCTGGAGTTTCATAGACATTAGGGCTGAAAGGGACCTTGCAAGATCATTGGGTCCAGCCCCCTGCCCAAGGGGCAGGAAGTCAGCTGGGGTCCAAGGATCCCAGCATATAAGCATCCAAGTATTTCTTAAGAGTCCAGAGTAGGTGCTTTGACCACCCTGGGGGGAGTCTGTTCCAGGCCTTGGGGGCTCAGGCAGTAAATAAGTTTTTTTTTTTTTTTTTCCTTCTGTCCAGCCTAAAACGGTCTTGCATGAGTTTGTGATCTTGTCATTCCTTGCGCTCTGGTGAACAGATGTCCCCCCAGGTCATGATGCACAACCCTTCAGTACTTATAGGCTGCCACCAAGTCACCCTTGGATACTTAGTAATGCATAAGTGGCAGAACCTAATTTAAGACTAGAATATGACTTCATGTAACAAGCACACAACACTAAAGCCATTCTAAGAAGTAAAATATATTAGTCGGGCCATATTTGGGAGCTCCTTAAGTGAGTGTCTAACTAACCTTCCTTGCCTAGAACAACTTGTAGGGCCTAGAATTGTAATTTAAAAAAAACTACCTAAAATTGACTGATGCCTCAATAGTTTACAGGAAGCTCCTAAAATGTGTTGCCTTCATCTGTGTTTTGAAATCTTTCAACAGCTTGTCTTAGTTGGTGATGGTGGTACCGGCAAAACAACATTTGTAAAACGTCATTTGACTGGTGAATTTGAAAAGAAGTATGTAGGTATGTTTAAACACTTGCATGGAGAATCCTAGTGCTAGTTTAGTTTAAAACACTGTTGGCAGGCTTTTTAAAGTGGAAATGTTTTATTGCAGCAACACTGGGTGTTGAAGTCCATCCTCTGGTGTTTCACACTAACAGAGGGCCTATTAAATTTAATGTATGGGACACGGCTGGCCAGGAGAAGTTTGGTGGCCTGCGAGATGGCTACTATATCCAGGGTAAGTTTTACAAACACTATTCATTAGCTTTGCAGCAGACTTCTAGGTATTTTGTCATCTTTGACAGCTTTGCAAAGTTGCTTGTGCAGTGGACCATTGCTTATGCATTTGGTCTGGCATAATAGTAACGGCATTTAAGTTGACTTGCTCTTCAAAACCTAGTGCAAGACTTCTCTTGAGGCAGACTTTGCCCAGAAAGTGTGTGGTTTTTTTTTGTTTTTTTTTAAGGCTCTGGCTATTAACAGAGAACATTAACTAAGGTAATACTTAGTTAAGCTGCCCTGAAAACATCTCTTATTTAATTAAAACTGAATGCTTGTGTAAGGTGACTACTTTGATCATAAGCACATTTAAATAAGATCTAATATTGCAATATTTAATTGGAAAGTGCATGGTTTTTAGGTGTGGCTCTTTTATACTATGAACTTGGTTACATTGTGCTTCTAACTGTATTATGTCCTTTACCAGTTTTGGAACATCTCATGTAATAAAATTGCTTAAGGAATAGACTTTGTTCTGTTCATTCCTTTTTATGAGAAGGAGGCGGCAAACTTGTGTACCAGATTCAAATTCCTATCTGTTCCTTTTCTGTCCTCTTCAGTGGGGAAGTCTCTCTTAAAATTCATATAAGCTAATTGGCCTTTTCTGTATTTGAGTTAGTGTCTTTTAAAGATCTGCAAAAGAATTCCTTTTTTTAAAATTAAACTTTTTGAATAGGGCCCTTCCCAAATAGGGGCTGCAAGCTATCAGCTTGTCAAATCTATTTTATTGAGTCTGTATCTTCCCCTTGTCTAGTGAGGTGCTTGCACACATGAGTTGGTGTGAATAGCACCGAGTAAATAGTCATGGTCTAAGTCTGAAAGACCAATAAACTTTGCTTATAAATCAGAATGTAGCCTGAAAAACCCTTGCAGGGTGGGTTGGAAACTGGAAGATTTGAGTGATAGCTTTCCTATATCTTGTATTTGTGATGCTGTGCTAAGCATAAGTTCAAGCTTCTGTATAACTTTTTTCAGCTCAATGTGCCATCATAATGTTTGATGTAACATCAAGAGTTACCTACAAGAATGTACCCAATTGGCATAGAGATCTGGTACGAGTATGTGAAAACATACCTATAGTGTTGTGTGGCAACAAAGTGGATATTAAAGACAGGAAGGTCAAGGCAAAATCCATCGTCTTCCATAGGAAGAAGAACCTTCAGGTAGGATGAGGTGGCGCTTTTTTGGGGGGGAGGGGGAATCTTCTGGTTTTGGTCAATTAACTTAAGTGAAAATAGTAGATTACACTTTGTAGTAAATGCTTTCTGCAAAATGATTTAGTAGTAAGTACTCTTCATTCATGAGGTCACTTCCTGTGTAGTAAAGTTCCAAATAGTTTGCTGCTTTTTCCTTAGAATGAGCTCAGGATCGTGATCAACTGCTGTTGGATAGAAAGCAAAAAATGATTTGGCTTCTGAATTAAGGTTTAGGTTTGCTGTCATGGATGCAGGACACTCATCTTCAGTTTTCAGACAGTTTTTCATCCTTGAAGCTGATAACAGACCATAAGAGCTTAATATTCTATGCAGGTACACCAAATGTGAGCCACTTGAAATAGGCCATTTGACAGCTATCTTGTTCGCAGAAGATGCGAATAGATTCCTTTTATTGTGTTCTGAAAATCAAGACGTAGGCCATTATCTGATCGGATTCAGTGACCTGGCACAGAGCAGTGTCTTTTAATACTAACCCAGTTTTAAAGAAGAACTGTTCAACAGCCAGTAAATCTGCCAAACTTTCTAGGAAATAAAGCAGGTAAGACTTTGCTGTCAGTTGGACCTGATGTTCTTTTCATTAGTAGTTGTCTGTTTGAATAGTAGTAATCTGTTTCACGAATGCATATAACATTTCTCTTGCTATTGTCGTCTTTTTTTTTTTTTTTTTTTTTTTTTTCTTCCCCTTCTTCCCCTCTCCTGCAGTACTATGACATTTCAGCTAAGAGTAACTACAACTTTGAGAAGCCTTTCCTCTGGCTTGCCAGAAAACTAATTGGAGATCCTAACTTGGAGTTTGTTGCCATGCCTGCTCTTGCACCTCCAGAGGTTGTTATGGACCCAGCATTGGCAGCACAGTATGAGCAAGATCTACAGGTAACTTGAACTGCAGTTTTAAGCATGTGCCTCTCTTTGCTTTGCGATAGCAGATACCTGAACTTGCAGGATTTTTTGCTGCAGAGCTGGTTCTAAACAATATTTCATTTTGTTTCAGATTGCTCAAACTACTGCACTGCCAGATGAAGATGATGACCTGTGAGGGATGAAGCTGGAGCCCAGCGTCAGAAGTCTAGTTTTATAGGCAACTGTCCTGTGATGTCTGGTGCAGCGTGTTTGCCACTTTATTATCTAGCTGAGCAGAACATGTGCTTAATCTTTGGGATGCTGAAAGAGATGAATGGGCTTCGGAGTGAATGTGGCAGTTTAAAAAAAAAAAAATTCCTTCATATTTTGGACCTGCATATTTAGCTGTTTTTGGACTGCAATTACTTCCCCCTTGAGTTTCAAATCTAAGACTGCTGCAGTCACATCACAGTATTCAGTGGTAAATCTTGTTTGTTACTGTCATTCCCATTCCTCTTTTGTTTAGATCATAATAAAGTTGTATTTCGAATATCTAAGCAAGTGAACTTTCATGCATTGTTAGGAGTAATTCTTCAAGCAATGTCTTCCATTCTTTAAATAGGTGGTAACAGCATTCAGTTTTAATATATATTTTTTTTTTTTCTTTTCAAATGTGTTACTTGACTTGCTCCAAGTAAATTTTATAGGTAACAGTTACTCTTTTCAAGGCTTCTTGAGGCCTATTCATTTAAGTACTCCCTTTTTTTAGGAATGCTGAAATGTAACTGCTAGGGAAGGCAAAAGCAGTAGACATTTGAAATGGTAAGTGTAAAATGGATCGGAAAAAAAGTGTAAAAATGCAATAGGGAAGTTTTTTAACTATCCTTAATGGGCATAGTTATTAAATGGATGCAGTTTGCAGGGATTCTTGTGACCTAGGAACTATAGTATAAAAGCTCCATGTGCTCATTGATTCTGTAAAGGGACTATCTTTCAGTTCTCATTGGAAGTTCGTTTAGTTATGTATAACATGTCTATTCACAGAGCTTTATACTATAGCAGCCAGAAACGATTAGCAGTGTGCCTGTGTCAAATGATGTACAAAGCTGTAGCTCTGCTGCAGCTAGGTTGAGCATTGTTCAAACACGGTGTGAAAATGGGACTCTTCCCTGAGCATGCATCTCAAACTATTTTTGTTAAGTAAGAAGCAAGTCACACTTGAACGGAAGTGCTCCTGGCTACAGAAAAGCAGGATTTGTTAAATCTACCCTTGTATAAACCAAAAGTTACTGTAACTGCACCAAGTTCTATTTTTGAAACTCTTGCTTATTACAGCACAAATGGTGGAAAATGTCAACTCTAAACACTATCTTGTAGAATCTACTCCTTTGGATCTAATATTAGAGCTAGAAGTACTGGTAGTCAACATGGCAAAATAGAAATTTAAGATATCATTATTTTTTTTTTTTTTTCCCCTAGTAGTGTTCATTTGAGTATATGAAGCCTTGAACTAAATTCAGTTTTGTATTTTTGGTTTCTTAATAAAGTGAAGCATTTCATTTATTCCTCTTAACTTGCATGTTTTTGTACATTGCTGCTGCTTTTTTTTCTTTTCCTCCATAAAGAATTAAATACTAGACTGTCACCAGCAAGCTTCTTCTTAAGTGGCAATAACCTATTTTAACTGGCTTAGCTATCTGATTTTAATTATGAATACTTTGGAATGAAACATTTTGAACATATTTCTAATAGAGTAGGCCAACACTGTTCAGAATTTTACTTCTCATTACTATAGTAATTTGTAGTAGGCTTTGAAATAATCCTTAGTGTGAAGGGTTAATATCAAGCAATTCCTTGCTTTCATCTGCTGTGCAATAAAGACCATTGCAATTCTCCTCCCAAGCTTTTCGTTATAGAGGTATTTTTCTAACTTGAGCTAAATGTCATGGGCCTCAGCTTCCACTGTTCTGTGGTTTGTATCTTAGCTATTGACATACAGCTTTCAACTTCTGGATTTCAGTTGTTTTGCTGTTTTTCTGATGGGGCAGCAGCTAAAATTTACTGCTCCTTCCTTTCTGGAACAGCTTATTATTAACGTTTAAAATATGTCCACAGCAAACTTGCCTCAGGCCTGCAAGTTGGTCTTGCCTCTTAATTTAAAAAAATGAAGGCATGCATCTGTTTACTGCTCCCTATAACTCTGTTGTCTTTGCTACTGCTGTAACTTTGCAGGCAGGTTTGGCTTCTGAGAGCAACCGGCATGGCCATATTACAAACTTTAAAGCTTGGCCACAGCAGGTATCTATTCAAGATGCATTCAGTGAGTTGCTAAGTGTTTTGACACAGTACTGCTTTTCATTTCTCTCCTCCTGCCCCCCACCCCTCCTTGCATCACACACTTTGAATAGATGTTGAACTAATAGGAAGTTAACATAGTTTTATTTGCATACCCAGAACCTGTCTTCCTATAAGATGTAAGATGAATTTAATTTCTGTTATAACTAAAATATCCTTCAGAGATGGCTCAGGTTGGAAGCCTATTAAATTGGACTTAAGTCCATCTTGAACTTTAACAGCCTTGTAATAAATATATGGAACCAAAGAGGAAAGCGGTACACACTTCTCTGATTTCAAAGCAGATTACCCACTAAACTCACTTTATTTTTATATATATATTTTTCTTATATTCTGTATTGAGCCCAGTATTTCTCAAGTGTTTTCCAAGCTGCTTAAAATGGCAAATGTGATTCCTAACAATTTGTATCTGCATTTTCTTAAATAACAAATCGAGTTAACAGTAGACCAGTATAAGGAAAACAGCTTGCCTTAATCTATGTCAATACCATCACCTAGTGGCAAGAGTCGTACATTGGAATATAGTATGTAAACTAATCTGCATGTCTGAATTTAATGTTTTCATGCTGAACTACACAAGCCTGCTTCTTTACGTTATTGTCAACTTCTTACACGATTGACTTGGTAACTCCTTATGAATGAGGGTTTTTGTTTTTATGACCTTGCTATTTTGGGAATGTGTTTTGTACTGTTTAAAAAAACGACAGACATGGTTTGTCCCTTGCAACTTTATTTTAAGCTTTTAATAGGTTGCTTGCTTATTCCATGTATATTTAGCCCTGACACAATTATGCCAAAATGTCGAGAGTTTCAGGTGCTAATCTCAAGGGGCAGCAAAATAGAATTTTCATACAAATTTGAAAATGGGGTAAATGCATTCAGGTTTATTTGGTTTCTTTTTTCTATTGAATACCTTTAAAAACGTTAAGTTAAGTTAATTTAACGATGTCTTTGCCCCACTCTTGTATGTAAAGGAGACATAAAGCTGCCATAAATGGACAGCCTAAAACTTCATAGAAATATTTCTACCCCATAGGGACTTTTCTTTCATGATTTGCTGTTTCATTACAAAAATAGGGGGGCAAATTATGCCTTGACACCCAAGTCTTCTAATTGCCTTACTGTTGTATTTTAGAAACACTTTGCTTAATTTTTTTAAAACTTTGATTTGTAAGACTATATTCTAGGATAATGCGGCTGACAACTACATCCACTCCTCTTTACCCTAATGAAAAACAAGGAACCTAAACTTTTTTTAAATCCCATGTAAAATTCACTGAAGTCAGTTTTTCCTCTTTCATGTCATCTATTGATACTTTTTTCTGGTTTGTTTTGAACAAGAGCAAAGCGGGGCAGGGTTTTGTTTTGTGTTTTTTCTCAAGATGGAGATATTAATCTATATATCATTTTACATGGGATGACTAATCCTAGTCACTTCTGTTAGTTTGCCTTTTGTCCAGCAATTGGGACATAGTTCTGGAAAAAACTTGCCTGCACAGTGGGATTTAGTCTAGCTTTATAATTCTACAACTTTCTGTTATCTTCAGGTTGGAAATTGCTTGTTAGTTAAGGGGGGGGAAAAAAATCACCTTTTGAAAAACAAGAACTAGATCCTTTGGGGCAGTAGCTTTTTATGGGTTTTTTTTGGAAATTTTGAATGGATATGTGGGACCCTGTTCAAGTGTAAAGTTTTGGGTTTCTTATAACTTTTTATTTTAGTGATCTCTTGTAGATACCTTTAATGGGCCAGAAATTGAAAACTACTGCTCCTTGTATTCACAATAGAACCTGCAAGCTTGTTATTGTGCAATCAATTTTAAAAAACCCAGTCCCATACTACCCCCATCTCTTTACTTTAGATCAGGCCACTGGTCTCAGTAGTTAAGCACTGTCAGAGACAGAATGCTTGTTTTAAAGGTGCTTCAAAAGATCCTACCTAGCAGTTGAGTATGGGTATGGCAAGGGATAGTACAGAAGTCAACTATTGCTTTTTTTTTTTTTTTTTTTTTTTCCTGTTTCTCCCCCCCCATGCGCGCATGACACATTCCTCTGAAGTTTCTAGCTGCTTGTAGCTGTTTTGTACTATTAATTTGGTGCAGTGCCCTTCATAAACTAGAGGAAGATGTATCTGAGTTTCATGAGACATGCAAAATAGATTCTTAACTACACTATCAAAATGATAGACTAGGAGCAAGTTTTAACACTTAAAATATGCAGGAAACTTTAGAAAAGCAGTTGCGCAAGGGATCAGACTTTCAAAACAGGCTAAAGTTAATAATTTTAAAAATACGTCAGAAGCAGGAATTTGTGACTTAGATGACTAAGGTCTAAAATGTGGATTTACATATGCTGAGGCTATGACAGAGAAGCTAAATAAATTCTTTCTGTCAGCCTTTGGAAGACCCTGGGGAACTTCCTGACAGCTTAGTCCTTTCTGGGAGTTGGGGCTGAAGACACGGACCATACTGAAGTGATAACAAATGTTTTAGAACAAATTAATAAATAAATACCAACCAGACTTACTAGCATTTATATGGGAGTCCTGAAGGAAGTCAAAGCTGAAACTGCAGAACTGGCAGTGGCACACAACTGGTTACAAATGGCCTTTGTGCCACGGCTGGCAGATGGCCAAAGTAAAACCCATCTTTAAGAGAGGCTGCAGAGGTGATCCTGGGAATTACATACCAGTCTCGCTTCCATCCATGGTGAATTAGTAGAATCTATAATAATGACTAAAAACAACAGGCATATGGACAAACATCTTTTGGGGAAGAGTTGGTGTGGGTTGTGTGAAGAGAAATCCTGCCTATCACCTCTGCTGGAGTTCTTTGAAGACAAAAAAGATCCAGTATATATTTAAATTTTCAAAAGCATTTGATAAGGTCCTTCAGCAAAGGCTTCAAACAAACAAACCTTTGTTGCCCTGGGCTTGGAGTTTTTAGTGAATTGAGAGCCAGTTAAGATGGGAAACAAATGGTCACATTTTCAGGATGGTTGGAGTTTAAAAGGGGGTCTCATAGGGATCAATGCTGGGCCCTATTTTGTTCAACGCTTTCATCAATGACTCAGAAAGGCAGGTGCACCATGAAGTCTCCCAAGTTTGCAGATACAAAACTACACCTGGTAGTCAAGTCCCAGGCTCAACTTCAGTACTGACAAGTGTAATATACACACCTGGAGAAATAACATCAACTCTACATACACAGAATTGGGTTCTGCACTAGCTGTTATAACTCAGGAAAGACTTTGGAATCACCGAGCTGGTGTTTTTAGAGAACCACCTACAGTGTGCAGCAGCAACCAAAAAAGCCAATGAAAGGTTGGGCTTCATTAAGGGACTTGAAGACAAAATGGAAAACACCATCACACCATTATACAAATCTTTGGTGTACCTACATCTTGAATACTGTATAGGTCTGGTCCTTGTATCTCAAAAAGGATGTAGCAGAATTGGAAAACTTATGGAGAAGGGCAACCAAAGCGATCATGGAAATGGAGCAGTTGCCCTACCAGGAGACACTAAAAACGCTAGGACTCTTCAGTTTGGAGGGGAGATGGGATAGAGATCTATAAAAACGTGAAGGGTGTAGACCAAGTGAATAGGGAACTGTTGTTCACCAGGTCACAGAATGCTAGAACTAGGGGGCACCTGCTGAAATTAGTAGGTGACAGGTGAAAACTAACAGACAATTCTTTACGCAACATGTAGTTAACTTGTGGAATTCATTTCCATGTTAGGTGGTGGAGACAGGTAGCACAGCAAGGTTAAAAAAGGTTTAATAAATATCAGAGTAGGCAAACACACCCTTCCCATGAGCATACCCCAACCTACTTAGAAGTCACTTTAGACCATTCCCTCACCTGTAAACATCACTCAGAAGGTCAGCAGTAAAATCTCTACAAGGGTAGATGCCTTAAGCCAACATGACATGGGATGCCAACTTCAAAGTGCTCCAAACCACTGCACTCATAAAGATATATGCCCCAGCAGAATATTGTGCTTGCTCTTGTATTGTCCAGAGGTTGTCACACTGAAAAGTTCAACACTAGTTAACAGTGGCAATAGAGGCAAGAGATCATGAAAATTGCCTCCTCCGTGAACTGTTAACTGAAGACCTGAATAGATAGAAGCTTAAGAGGCTTAAAACTCATAAATTGTACATGAAGTCCACCAGCTCCTGGAAGAGGTTGGGGATGCTGAACCAAGCCTATGAGCAGCAACAGAGTGGGCCAACTGCTGGGGAAAGTCAGGCCTATTCCTATTCCTACAGTGTTTTATACTAACATCAAGTGAGTCCCCCACAACCTTAACAGACAAGCATGGGTCAAGCTGAACAGACTGAGATCTGGATATGGATACTTCAAAACAGCACTACACAAGAACATCTTGGACAGTCCCCCGTGTGAATGAGGTGTCCAACAAACAGCACCACACAATCAAAAACCAAAATCTTTGCAAATGCCCACTGGGACAGACGAATCCACACGCAAGACAGTGGCTCATAAATTTGGAAGTTGATATCTAATGTGATATGAGAGAGAAAGATAACACATATTAGTATCATAGTAAAAAAAATGACAGGTTTACTGAGGGGGCAATATTATATGACAGGTTTACTGGCTTGCTTTGTGCTGTATATTGACATTATACTGTAATCCCACCAGCATTTTATTAATAAAAATACAGAGGATAAAGGTAGATCTGCTCTGTGGGTATGTCAAATTGTTTAGAAAAGAAGGTAGCCATAGGAAGTTCTTCAAGTTCTTGTTTTAAAGGGGTTCCTTAACTGAAAACAATACCTCAAGTAGCAATAAGTAATGCTACTAAGGCTAAATACAAACAGTCAGAAAGCCCGAGGCTGAATTGATTCAGTCTTTGTGAGTTAGTCTAAGCTGCAAAGATTGAACCAATAAGCAAATGAACAGACATTCACTTTTGATTCAGGAAATGTAGCCACATGCCTGCAGGGGCTCAAGCTAGAAGCCAGGGGCACTAAAGCACAGCTCTCTGGCTTGTAGCCAGCATGGGCTGTGTGTTCACTTCCTTTTCCTGCTGCCCCCAGTCTCAGATTTGTAGTCCAGACTTACAGTAGAAGGACTCTGCAGGGTTGCACATCACTTCCTCTTCCTGCTTCCAGGTGCCTCTGGGATTTGTAGTCCACAGTCACAGCAAGCACTAAGTAAGCCAGGCAGGGCAGGGCAGCTCAAGGGAAGTTTAACCCCACTCCCATGCCCTAGACCCCAGCAGGGGTTTGCCTGGGGAGGTATCCAGTGAGCCAGCCCTCACTGATGCAGCTAAAGAGCAGAAGGGCAGGGACAGCCCTGCTTTTTGGAGCAGACAGTACAGCCAAGCCAAGGGCTGCAAAATGCTTGGATGTTGGGGGACGGTGATTTAACTTAAACCAGAAAGGGGCCTGGGACAGACATTTCATAAACCGGTTTGACCTAAATCAGTTAAGTCTGATACTACTACATCCCACCAGGTTCATCTTAAACCAGTTTCAGCCACTTTGAAACTGGTTTACATGCACTGAACTTCTGTTCTATTACAGGTTTAAAACAGTTTCTGAT